AGGGAACCACAGCTCTAAACGCCCAGTCGGCAGAGAACCCCACCCAGCCGGAGACCTGATGTTGTGCCCAGGTCTGGCCCAGCCCGGATCTATCCTGTTCAAAGCCCCCGAAGCCTGGCGTGCGCGACGTCAGAGGGGACGCGACACAAACAACCTCTCGAGTGGTCCTAGGTGACGTAAGACGATCGCGACAGGCGGGCCCTCTCTGCTTCTCGCTCACGCAAGACCTTGCTAAGGCGAACCTCTGCGTGGAAAGGGCGCGAATAAAGTGGGGAGAAAGAGCCGAGGATGAAGAGCGGCTCCGGGCCTCTAGACAGAGCCCAGACACGGAGGCAGGGGCTGCCTCAACTCACCTGCCCGTACGGGTAGCTGGCCATGGCGGCTATGACGTCATGCAACTGTATAAGGCGGGGCTTCCTGACCCCAAAGCCTCTCCTCGTTCAGCCTGGGGGCGGGTCCGCTTCTGCTTGGACGCCCAGACTGTCAATCTTAGGGCCTGCAAACGGAAGTGACTCTTGGAGCAGTGGGCGGGTACAGCCCACTGCGAAAGCGGAGGACCGGGTAGGAGTGTCCGGAAGTGGTGGTGGTGATAGTGGCACGTTTGTTTTTGTTTTTTTGTGACCTGGAGCAGCCTTCGGGGTTCCTTAGACTAGGCTTTCTAATGGGGAGACTGGGTCGGATGTTTCTGCGGTGGCCACATTATAACCGGGCAAGTCGGATGCATGTTAGTTATGTCACTTCTGTGATCACTTTATTTTTTTAGGCCCAAGCGGTTGCCATGGCTACTGGGAACTAACCTCCTCCTGGAATGAAGGTACTATTTAAACAGGTCTTTGGACCGTGGAGAAAGGTCAAGCTGCCAGAGTAGAAGAAAAATTGGGATGATTTGGCGCTTCTTCATAAATGGGGAAACTGAGGACTAGAAAGTCAGTGACTTATACGCCTAAATTCACAGTGAGTTCACAACAAAATATGGCCTAGGATTAGTGTCAGTGGATAGCTAGGTCTCAGCAAGGGGGTCTTGTCCCCTTTGTAGATCAAATCCCAGCTACTAAGGGACCAACACCATGAACTTCTCTCTCAGGTTTAGGTTCTAAGCTTGTTTGTTCATTTGATTAGTTAAATTCCCTTGTGGCCGGCATGGTGGCACATGATTTTAGTCGCAGCACTCAGCAGGCAGAAGCAAGTGTATTTACATAGAGAGTTCCAGGCCAGTCAAGGCTACATAGTGAGGCCTACCTTAAAAACAACAAAAAAACCCTCTCACATAGACAAGAATTGTGTCTGGTTTGCTTGTAATCTACTATGACAAAATGAGTTACTGTGGTATGTCTGACAACTGGGATGTACTTGGGAGACAAGGTATTTTAGATGTGATATCAAGGATGTCACCCACCCAATGTAGTATTTCTTTCTTTCTTTTTCTTCTTTTGTTTTTTGAGACAGGGTTTCTCTGTGACATTGGAGTCTATCCTGGAACTAGCTCTTGTAGACCAGGCTGGTCTCGAACTCACAGAGATCCTCCTGCCTCTGCCTCCCGAGTGCTTGGATTAAAGGCATGCACCACCAACGCCCGGCCCAACACTATACTTTTAAATAAGCAAATGAAAAAAGGTATGAGCAGTTATCCAGCCAGGCCATCTTACCATCCAGCCAAGCACTTTCCAAACCCCCAGTGCTGATTACGGTTCTGAGTTTAGGACAGCCTGCATTTCACATTCCTCATCCAACTGCAAAGGAAGACAAACCCTTTCATTCCAATGCTCTGATCCCTTAATGATCTGGCTCAGCTGTACCCAGGCTGTGTCCCACTCTCCATGGTTAGTTTCTCCCTTCAACAAGCTTTAGTGGGCAGATCTTGTTTTGTTTTCTTTTTAAAAATTTAAGAATCAGTTTCTAACTGTATGATCTTGAATAAATTCTTTTACTTCTCAGTCTCAATGTTCTCAAATGTCGGATAAAACAATGTTAACTTGAAAGTGAATTTATTACAGCCTCTCATGTTCAGGCTTAGGGCCACACCACTTATTCATAGAGATCAACGCTCCTTTCACAACTGGTTGGCCAGTCCCATCCTCCATTTAGCCTCCCTCATGGCCCCCAACCCATTAGCCACTCCTCTTAGTTTTCGTCTGCACCTAGTATGGCCACTGTGTCACAGTCTAGCCCTGTATAAGAATTCTCTGATGATTTCCACAAAACTTATCTGTTCTATCTCAGAAAATCTGCACAGTCATTCAGGCCAAAGACCCTGGATCATTCTTGTAGGTCTTCTCCACACACTCCCCCACCTCCATTTGGTTTTTTGTTAAAAAAAAAAAATCACATTTTTTTCCCTCCATGTCCCAAACTATCACTGGTCCAAGACCCCTCTGTAGTCTGGCCTCCCGACACATGTCTTTTTATTTGGTTCCAACACCCCCTTCTTTGCTGAGAAGACAGAGTAGGCACCTTAAAATGTCAATTAGGCTGAGTGGTGATAATACATGCTTTTAGTCTCAGCACTCAGGAAATAGAGGATCTCTGAGTGCAAAGCCAGCCTAATCTATAGAATGAGTTCCAGGATAGCCAGGGCTTTACAGAAAAACTCTGTGTCGAAGAACAAAGCAAAACAAAAAAAGTGAATTCAATATTGTCATTCTCTAAACTCCTTTGAGGGTTTCCTGTCACTCTTATAATAAAATCTAAAGTCATCCTTATGACTTTATGGTCCTACAGGACCCAGACCCAGCCTGTGACACCAGCCTCACTGATGCCATTGCTGCCTGGTCACCACCCTGAAACAAAAGGAGCTCATTCCATCTCCAGATTTTTGGACTTGCTCCTCTCTCTCTCTTTTTTTTGGGGGGGGGTGATCTCCCCTTAACTTTCCAGATCTTTTTTAATTTGTCATTCTCATCCAGGTCCCAGTTAAAACACTACATTGGGCAGGGCAGTGGTGGCGCAAACCTTTAGTCCCAGCACTCCGGAGGCAGAGGCAGGAGGATCTCTGTGAGTTCGAGACCAGCCTGGTCTACAAGAGCTAGTTCCAGGATAGACTCCAATGTCACAGAGAAACCCTGTCTCAAAAAACAAAAGAAGAAAAAGAAAGAAAGAAATACTACATTGGGTGGGTGACATCCTTGATATCACATCTAAAATACCTTGTCTCCCAAGTACATCCCAGTTGTCAGACATACCACAGTAACTCATTTTGTCATAAAATGTGCTGTGAATTGCCCCCCTTTTAGGATTTACATGCACATCATAAGGTGACCATGTATAATGCAGGATTATCCTGTTCTCTAGTAAAGATTGATTTATAATTATATGTACTTGTGTGTATCTGTGTACGGGTATGTGCATGTGACCTCAGGTGCCTGTGGAGGCCAAAGAAGGTGTCAGATCCCCAGGAGATGTCGTTCCTGGCAGTTGTGAGCCAACTGACCTGGTGCTGGGAACTGATCTTGGGTCCTCTGGAAATGGAGCTGACTCTCTTAACTGCTGAGCCCTTCTGTTTGTGCTCATTACATGGAATAGGTCCTGGCATGAATCCAGTAGGCCTTAATGGTTGTTATCAGCAGCAGCAGCAGCAGCAGCAAACATTGAATTCTTATGAACTATAGACATTGTGTAAGTCCTATAATATTGTTCAGTTAGCACAGTCTTTGGAGATAATTGTTATTACCGATTTGTAATGGAGTTCTAGGGAAGCTAATAGACCTCCTTAATATAAAAAAGATAAATGGTGAGCTGTGATCTCAGTATATGGGAGGCTGAGGCTGGAGGATCACTAGTTCAAGGTGAACCTGGGCTGTGCAGCAAGATCTTGTCTCAAAAACAAAACAAAACTGGAGAGATGGCTCAACAGTTATGAGCACTTGCTCTTGCAGAAGACCCTGGTTTGAGAAAGGCAGTGGTGGCACACGACTTTAGTTCTCGAATTCAGGAGGCAGAGGCAGGTGGATCTCTGTGAGTTCAAGGCCAGCCTGGTCTTCAAAGTGAGTTCTGGGACAGCCAGGACTGTTATACAGAGAAACCTGTTCTCAAAAAAAAAAAAAAAAAAAAAAAAAAAAAAAAAAAAAAGAGGAGAAGGAGGACAGAGAGAAGAAGACAGTGACAACAAAGGTGATGACCCTGGTTTTGTTGCCAATACATGGTGGCTCTCAACCATCTATAACTTCAGTTCCTGAGGGATCAGTTGCCCTCTTCTAACCTCCGAGGGCACCATGCATACATATGGTACACATGCATTTTATGCAAGCAAAACAGTCATACACATAAATAATCTAAAAAAAAAGGAGAAGCCAGGGTTTCAGGCCAAAGCTAGGAATACTTTAACAAGTCAATGATGTTATTAACACGTCATGTTGGGTTCTAGCTTGGGTGTGATGGACTCAATAAACCATGCCTGGCCACTCACTCCAAAAGACAAAACAGAAAAAAGTGGTAAACCCAGGAAAAAAATTGGCTCCGTACAGCCATCATGGTGAGCAAGAGGAACCAGCATTCTCCATCCTGTCTTTGAGGCACCAACAAGAGCTCTGAGTTTATGTGAGGAACAGACAAGAGCTGGTGACAAGAGACAAATGACCAAACAGTCTTGCTCCAGCTATGGTTTGGGTAATTACTACCCCAGGGCAGGTTATACAGAACCTTCGGGGTAGTATCAAAGTTGCTGCTGCTCAGGACACACAATGTTTTTCAGTCAGACCTGTAATTTCTGGAATCCAGGGTAACTGCAAGAGAGTATGACTCAGACAAGTCAGGAAGACAGATGGAGTCAGGTCAGTAGTTGGTCCCTTCCAGCTTAAGGCAATGATTAGAGATTTCTAGGCGTTGCTCTTGTGGCTTGGAACAGGACATTGTAAGGGCCAGATGCCAGCCAGGTGGATCGCTGAGAGTTGGAGGCCAGCCTGGTCTACAGAGCTACTTCCAGGACTGCTAGGATTACACAAAGAAACACTGTCTCAAAAACAATAAATAAATAGCTTCATCCTCCAACACTTGGGAAAATGAGGTATGAGGATGATTTGATTTTTATTTATTTATTTATTTAGGGGCTCATGTATCCCAAGCTGGCTTAGAACTTGCTGTGTAGTCAAGTCTCCTGCCTCTACTTTCCAAGTGCTGAGGCTATAGGCATGCAACACTCTCCTCCAGGAAGATCTCAAGTTTGAGGCCACCCTGGGCTGCATAGTGAGGACTCTGTCTAAAAACAAAACCCAAAGTGCTGGCAGTTGGCAGTCTACTGGAGAACTGGAAAACCACCCCAGTCCTTGGATGAGGTAGCCCCAAGTTAGGGACATTTTCCACACAAAGACTCAGAGACCACAAGGCTAGGGAGCTTCTGATGAAACCAGAGCACAAGGGAAGGACTGAGCTTTGCTTGAAGGGGAAGGCATGAGGTGGCTCAGCATTAAGAGCACTTGGTGACCTTCCAGAGAGCTGGGCTCGGTTCCCAACATCCAGTTTGACTGCCCTCTTCTGGCCTCTGCAGGCACTGCATCCATGTGGTGCACAAGCATGCAGGCCAAACACCCATATGAATAAAATAAAAAGTAAAATTGCAAGTGGGGTCAGGGCAAAACCGACAAACTCTGGAGTGAACTGGTCACTTCAAGTCCTTGTCTGAATGTGAGTGCCCCACGATGAGATGAGCTTTAGATGAGCTGTAACTCTTCTGGCCAACCGAGGGAGAAGCAGCCACTTTCCTTTTAGTTACTTTAACTTTGCAGTCAATTAAAGCCACTGTTCACAGTTCCCTGTGGCCTAAATCTCAGAATGGGTGTTTGATAGGCGGTAGCTCACTGCCTCTGTGGCTGTGAGTTTACCTCCTAGCTTCCATTAGTTCGGGCGAGGAAGTGACAAGTGATTGGAATATTTACTGTCAACGGTTTACCTTTTAGCTTTGTGGCAGGTTTGAAGTTCCAAGGTACTCACTCTTCCGGTTCATTTTAAAGCATTACAAGCAGAAGACTGCTGGCTGAAACTTCCTCATTTGATGGTTTTAACCTGCCTCTTGGAGCATGTGGCTCTTCTCCCAATCCCTAACTCCTTGCCTTCTCCAGCAATCATTATGGCATCTCTGCAAATTTTGAAGATACCTCAGTCACTCTTATCTTGCTGTCTTTTTCGGTCGGGGAAGTTTACCAGTTCTGCAGAACATTCCTTAAATGATTAACATGCCTACGTGCTGAGATGAGCAGGATTTGACTCAAAGGTTTTTACTACATTTTTTTTTTTTATTTTGTGGTGTGCATGAGTTCACTCACGCATGTGTCATTGTGCATATGCGGAGGTCAGAGGACACGTCTTTGGAATCAGTTCTTTCCTTCCACTGTGTGGGGCTGGGAAGATCAAACTCGGGGCAACAGGCTTGGCAGCAGATGTGTTTCCTTACTGAGCCATCCGGGCCCCAGACCCAAAGTTTGAAGTAGCAAAGGGAGACACACAAAATAAAAGTGGAGACGGCAAGATTTTATCCTGCTTTTAGTCACCCAGCAGGCCCCAATGAAGAGATGCTTTTAGCAAACACAGCCACTCACTCAATAGTGTCTTCCAAAAACTGTTGGTGGGACTGAATTTCGAAATCTCAAAAAGAAAGCAGTTCTGAGGTATGGGGCTGAAGGTCAAGAATATTTACCTCAGAAAGAATATCGGGACACCTCGGCTGTGAAGTGAGGTCATGTGACTCACCCAAACTGATTCCACAAATAATTTTATCTCAGTTCCTTAGGTTCAGAGGGTTCACTACCTGCGGCAATCCTCTGTGTGTGTGTGTGTGTGTGTGTGTGAGAGAGAGAGAGAGAGAGAGAGAGAGAGAGAGAGAGAGAGAGAGTGTGTGTGCATGCTTAATCCAGTGCTTGGAGGTCTTAGGACAACTTGAGTCAATTCTCTCCTATCATGTGGGTCCCAGCGATGGAACCAAGTTATCAGTGTTGCCAGCAACCACTGAGCCGTCTCACCCACCTCATGAAAATTCTTGACATTCTTTTATTCCAGTAAAAGATTTAGGAGGACTCAGCTGGAGGTCTGCATTATTTGGGGGGTGGGGTCAGAGGAACATCCAAGGGTTCTCTCAAGCAGCCAGACACCAACCCAAGCCAGCGGGGCCCCAGGTGTGTTTATTTTGGAGGAGCAGATGAAAGAGACTGAAAACCAAGCAGCTCCTTCCCAAACCGTACCCACCTGAAGCCGACAGCGCTGGGTGGAGTGTTCCTGCCATTGTCTCAGCTTTGGCGGAAGGGGGAGAGAGAGCTTGGCTTGCTGCCTTTCTTGGGGAAGCTTGGGGAGTTTTCTGGAGGTCACGGCTGGAAAGCGGGTGCTTGACCATCAGAGGTGAGGCAGAGCTTGGTAATGGAAGGCCCCACACTGGAAAATCCTTCCTCCCCTAGGAGAAGACACTTCTTCCCCAATGCCATCTGGCTGGGTGCCAAGCTCTCGTGTGGCATTCTGGGAAGGAACACCAACACCCACCTCATTATGGAACTCTCTTTAATTCCATTTAGATCCAGGTTTGAAATTGGGATTCATTTTGGATTTTGTGGACTGGAGGAAGATTTCCCTGCTTTAATGCCTTGTAAAATGAGAACAACACGAATAGGTGTCTGACCTCTGGCCCCTTACATTATGGCTCCATGGGAACAGTATGGGGGGGGGGGGAGAGTTCTTGTAAGGGGTTAACAGACCTCATGTGAAGCGAGGATGTGATTGGACTGTGTTGATATGTGGCGGAAGGAAAATATTATGATAAAAGGGAAGATCTCAGCTCCCAAGGCTTCCAACAAGGGATTATTATTTTCTTCTCTGCGGAATAAATATGCAGTAGCCTTGGGCTTCTCAAATTAAGGGCTCTCCAGTCCTTTCTTCACACTGCAATCGGCAAACTCCCCCTTAGGCAAACCTTTGTTTAAAACTCACCAGCGGCTACCCACTGCGTGACCGTGGCTCACACTCGGCACTGCAGTCCCACTGCAGGTGTCCCCCTCTCAGCCCGCTGTGTTCAATCATCTCTGTCCCTTGGTACATGCTGCTCCCTGTGCACCTTCTGTCTAGACAGTTAGGCCCCACAGCGATGCACCTCCCCGGCCACCTGGTACTGGCCTACCATCCCACTGTGTTGTAATCACTTAATGAACTGCTGTTTCTATTGTCATTGTGGGGGCTGAGTCCATATCTGCCCAGTTTGTTTCAGGATCCCCAGAGCCTAGTACCGTTCCTGGCACAAACTAGGAAGAGGAAACAGACTCTTCAAGTTAGACTCCGTCGATCTGAACAATCTCTGCGTTGCCTTGAAAGTCTGGAACAGACTAAGATGTGGCGACAGAGGAGCATGGCGGGAAGTGGGAACCCTGTCTGAGGAGAGTGGAAGTTACCCCTCCTCATTTTCCCGGCAGCCCATGGCTGGCGAGCCGGTGAGCAACATGCACAGAATTTTTTTCTGCTGACCACAGAAGAAGAGACCATAAAATTCAGCTTCCCATCTGTTTCTTCATGGTCCAAGAAAATACAGCAATTTCAAACTCCAGGGAGACAGGCATTCAGATCATGAAAGCTTAAACCTAGCCTGTCTGTCGTGGAATCCCCCCAAAGAGCGGCATGGATTGGACTCCAGAAGAAGCTGGGAGGAGGAAGCACCACTTCTAAGGATCCATTCCCCGGTGACCCTCAAAGAGTACGTGTTTGATGTCGCCCATGCCAGCTACCCCCCTGGCCTTCAGTGTCAACTGCACAATTCAGCAGCTGGCCCTCGCTTCTCTTTCTTTCTACTTGTGCCAAAGGCTCCTGGTCACCACGAGGCCTATCACCAGTTTGCTTCACAGGCTGAGCTGAGCGTGGAAGCCAGCCTTCCAATGGGAGCGCTTTAACATCTGTCCTCATCCAGTGTCTAAAACCTGGCCGCTACTTCAATGCAATGATGATGTATTTGCTTTTTAATGTTTTCTGTTAGAACCAGAGTTACTGAGAGTTGCAGGTGAGAGATGAAAAAAGAACCACTCTCCTGTATCTAAGAACAGCATGGGATGCACTTGGCTGGCTCAGGAGCCTGCCTGTTAGCACGGTCTGGCCATGGGCATACCTCTGTCTCAGGCAAGAAAAAAAAAATAAGGCAAAGGTTCTGAGGAGCCACCCATAGGCTGGTACCCAAGCAGAGAAGGGAATGTTCAAAACTGTGCTGAAATGCCAGCTCTTGAGAGATGTGACAGCCAGCTTGAAGGCTTCAGGCAGTTTGGATAAACATCTAGACTTTGAGTACATTTCTGAGTCTGTTCTGTGATCCCTTTGAAGTTTATCCAACTTGAATAAGCCCTCCAGAAAGCCAGGGCCAGTAAAAGAGGCTTTCTTTGGAAGTCCTCCTGGATGTGCCCTGTTGCTTCCTCCCAGGGCAGCCAGCACATCAGGACCAGCGATCTGAGGAGTGAAGAAGAAAGACGCCCACCTGAGACAGCCCTCCTGGAATAGTCAATTCATTGTCTTCCTCTTTTCTTCCTGTCCTTTTTACATATGGAGGGCACAGCAGATAGAAAACCCCTGGTGGACTTGGTGGACCATAAGTTTAGAACTAATCATGGCTTGCCTGGGACCCCTTCCCAGCTATTTCTGAAGGCCCAGCCTGAGATGTACATCACGCACGTTTGAATAATAAAAGGCACTATTTGTAGTCTAGAAAGGCTGCCTGAAGCAGGAAAGCCTGTGACAGAGCCCAGTGTGTGGGCACAGGTGGGAGGTTCCATCTCATTTCCCAGGGAAGCACCCCCTGGCTGCCTGGGCAAGGGCTGAGGCATCTTCCCCCCTGTCTGCGCAGGTTTTCTAGTCATGAAATTACTGGAGCATTGAGAAGTGCCTGCATGCACGGAGGGGTGTCCAGGAGCACACCTCAGCACTGGGTGGCATCTCCCCAGGTACAAGCTGGCTTGGGTTTAGGTCACACAAAGGAGAATGGGGTACCAAATACTGGGTTCATTCCAAAAGAAAACAGGGATCAGCCTTTCTGAGCAGGTCTCAGGGGGTCCCAAACCTGCTTTTGGCTCACTCCAGAGACTGAACAGTGCCTTTGGGGTTGCCTGGAGAGGGAGCAGGGCAAGTGGACAGCCTGTGCATAGCACAACACAAACCTACAGGCGAACCACAGACCACGAGGGACCCTGGGACCAAATGACAGAGATGTGGCTGCAGCACCAGGGGAACCCCATGGAAGTGGGGTTACAAATAGTTTCGTTTCTTTATTGTTAAAAAAATATTAACAGCAACAACAACAAACAAGAATAGCACAAACATTCACAACCCATCAGAGTCTGTAAGCTTTGCCCATTTATTCCTAATGGAGTCCTTTGTCTCTGTGCAGGTGATGGTTTCAGCCAAAAGGCCCCTTCATGTTTTTCATGGGTGGATACTGTTGCTCCATTGGCATGGCCCCAAAGCAGTCTGAGGGGTTGCAGTGACCAGCCTTCCCCGGCTGGCCCATTGGACCTGGGGGGCCAGGGATGCCCGGAATGCCTTGCTGGCCCATTGGCCCTGTTGCGCCCATCTTGCCATAACCTGGAGGTCCTTGAGGACCTACAAAGAAGAGTGGCAGAAGGGAAATCAGGAGACCCAGATGACAAGAGGCAACAGCTGTGACAAGTGACACCTTCATTTCATGCATATTTCCAGCTTTGAAGCATGCTTTTGTGAGACCTGCCCGCTCTTCTCATTGATTTCACGAGGACAGCCACACCTCTAGCTAGTTTTATTAGGAGTGTCTGTGGACCAGGAAAAGGGTCATGAGCTTTTAGGTGACTGTATCCACAAAATAGCTCCCTGGGGAAATGTGCAGGCTCTGAAAAGTCACACACGAGTAATATCCATGGGTCAAGTAATGAGCTGGGCCTCAGAGTTTCATCATTAGGTTTAACCGCTCTCAACCTTCTGACCATTCAGCTTGGAGAACAACTCTGAAGTTAAGCCTGATCAGCATCACAGGGTCAGTAAGACACCAAACAGGTCTTAGACTTGGATTTCTGGTCTCTATTGCATGCAATGCCCCCACACACACACACACACACACACACACACACACACACACACACACTGCATCATGCAAGCCTAACTTAAGACAGAGGCAGACACCCAGCCTCTCTCTTCACTCCTCCTTAGGCCCTAGCACAGAATCTTGAACTGGGAGCATTTCTGTAAGTGGTAACTAGCCTGGCATTATTTGGCGTTCTAAGACTATGTTGTAAAGAAGTGGGGGGGGGGGCGGGGGGGAGCTCTGCTGTTCTGGATTCATGGTCACAAAGACTAGGTTCTCTTACCTGGGGGGCCAGGAAGACCATTTTCTCCCGCGATGCCAACACCGATGTCTCCCTTTTCACCTTTGGTGCCAGGTAATCCTGAGCCAAAAGAAATGAAGTTAACTTCTATCCCTAAGCAGAGAAATTTACACACACGCACGCACGCACGCACGTGCGTGCCCGCACACACATGCGCACACACACACACCATATTCACAACAGTCGGCCCACAACAGAGCTGCAGATGCCTGCCACCCCAGAGACCCAGAAGGTAGGTGGAGCTACCTCTCATTCCTGGCAAACCCTGGCGTCCTTCTCTTCCTATCTGACCAGGGAGCCCAGGCGATCCTGGAGCACCTGGCCGGCCTGGAGCACCATCTTTCCCGGGGGGCCCTGGCCGGCCTGGAGCTGCTGCCACCTCCATGGGGAACTGCATCCTGGAGGTGTAGTAAGCCATCCTCTCTGCAAGCAGAGACAAAAGGCAGTCACTGGGTGACTAGTTGCTCAGAGTGGCTGCAGATGCTGCAGACACGCCACCAGCATGGGGCAGCCTCCAAAGGTGGAGGAGTATCAGGACAGGGAGGTGGGCTGCCCTCCTGAGGAAGGGCTTGTGAAGTCGCCCCATGTGCTTTGCCATGCAGATCTTTCAGAAGCATGGATGTGGTTTCTAACCACCATCCCCGGTTCACCACCGACTTCAGAATGTGGTCCAGACAGGTCTCTTTCCCAGGCAGGATGCCCAGAATCCACATTTCCCCACCCACAGCACACAGGCAGGAAAAGGGGGCTTCAAACCAACCCTAGCAGCACTTTGTCTGCTTGCCCCTCTCCCCAGAACTCCCTCCACACAGACTCGTTTGAAATTGGCTTTCTTAACCTCCTTTGCTCAAGTGGGGGATCAGGAGGGCAGAAGAGAACCGATTTATCTCTGAACAGAGCGGGTGACGAGGAAGGTCTGATGGATAGGTGAGCATATGCCTGTCACCTGCTGTCTGTAAGTGTGTGGGGTGAGGAAGGGAGGACACAGAAGCTTTAAGGAAAAGGAAGGCAGGGCCGGGCAAACATCACCCACTGCCACCCCACCGGCTGCCAATTACCATCAAACATTTTAATGATCTCTTGTCTGATGAACCTCTTG